CGGGAATTCTTCGCCTGGCTGTCTTTGGGTGAGGACCCTGTCTATTAACTACTAGAGAGTGTCTCCTGGTTCTTCCCAATGGCAAGCATTCAGGTATCCTATGACCCATGACTTGCCACAAAGCTGGGTACTCAGTAAATATTTATGAAAGTAAGTTGTTTGCCTGGCAGTGATAAAAATGTCCCTTTAGCCATAAAATATGTCTGCTTATAGTGTTTGTGTTTTTCATGCGGCTCTGGCAGTTGCACATAGGAAAGGAAATGAAAGGTAAGACATCTATCCTATTCCTCATACATTGGTTTCTGAAGTGGGCTTTTCAAGAGATTGCCACACATTGGCTATTTCTTACTTGAAAATATGTATAATGGGTTGGCTTTATTCTTTCTCACACACCATGGAACATCTGTTTGTTTGTTTGTTTTCCTTCCAGGGGACCAGTGAGAATCGGGAAAACTCTGCAGCTGGTGGAGCCCAGCATGCCCCCTGTGAGAGTCACTCTGAACCACCTAGAAACCAGCCATTCCCTAACACAGCAGCATCTCAAACACAGGCCAGCCCGGCTCACTCCAGCGCTACCCCACGCGTAGAGGAGAGTGGGGAGCAGCAGGCTCAGCCCTCTGCTGGAGAACACTGAAGAGCTCCTGGTCATCTCACACCCTGCATGGCACCAGGCACCTCAGCCAGGACACAGAGGGCCAGGCCTTCACCCTGGACATGCCTCCCCAAGGGGAGAACCGCACTGCATATGCTTCTAAATATCTAGACTCATTACTGTGGAGACACACACACATACATACAACGAGCTACAGTACTTGTTGGCAGGAAAAAGGGAAACCTCCACGGTCATGTAGAGATGCAGAACAGTGTTGGGTGAGGACTTCTGCTCTTGGTTGGTTAGGTCTGAGCTAACTCCACTGCCAGGGTCTAAGGGTGGGAAGCAGAACTCACACCAAGTCAGGCGAATGAACGGTCTCAAGGTGAGCCATGACATCATCTCCCTCTTCTGATTATTTATTCTAAATATTGGGTTCTCAGTGCAAAGCCAGGTTAAACAAAAAAAAGAGTATCTATAGATTTATTTGTCTTGAAGAAAGCATTTTAAAAATTATAAGATATATTTAAAAGGGGACCAGATGGAAGTTAGTAGAACATATGCTTCTTTATTGTTTAAAAGTTCCAAGTTTCACTGAACTTTGCACATCTCTAGCAAATATATTTTTATATGCATATGGTATATCGTGAAATTAGTTCTTGGAGCAGCAAAACTGTTACCGACGACTGAACACTGAGTTGAGCTTTAAAACGCTGTGAGAATGAGCAGAAGTGAGGGCATATTTCAAAGAATCCGGCCAAGTCATTATCCTAAGACGTGATGGGCTAGGCTTTACAATGCAGATCCTACTGCAACAGCCCACCACTGTCAGACGGTGACTTGGGTTCCCATTAGCCAATGGAATAAAACAACTCACTGTGTTCCTAAGCATTCCTTAAGGTATTTGCAAAGAGCAGGATAAAATTTAAGTGCCTGGGGAGGGACACAGTGTTTAAAATTTACATATTAGGTCTGTTTTGTGAGGTAGTAAATAGGAGAAATGTGAATTTGGGGAACAAGAATGATTGTCTAATGACTTAAGAAACAAGTCTTAATATGTTGCTCTCCCCCAAACCATAGTCACACATTGGAACCTTTAGCATTGGGCTATAGCTATGCCTTTTACCACCACAGACCCAGGAGTCTGGGTGGTCCCACATAGAACTTGCTCCTGGAAGGAAAGCAGAGGCTGTCTGGGAGGCCTGTGAAGGGGAATGCTGCTGTGGCTGAACCTAGGGCAGTCATATTGTGGATAGACATCGAGAATGCACGAGAGAGTGGTTAGAAATGGGAGCTCACTGACCCTGAGTGGACAGATCACCTGGAATGTGGTGACTGGTGACAGCTTCCCCGTGACAGCTCTACCTGCCCCTGAGTCTGGGAGGAGACTACACCTAGATGTCTAGCTTTATCACAAAACACAGCTTAAAATGCTGGGAACAATTAAGCCGAGGTTATTTTTTGCACTTGAGCAGCGCTGTATTGTCAATCACTATGACACATTTTAAGTGACCTTTCAACTCAGATGTATTTATTATGCTCGAGTAATTACAGGAGTGAAGTGGGAGCCAGGCTGAGCCCCACCTATGAATGTGCAGCATGTGGATTTGTAACTGACTGTAGGGAGCCAGAACCCTGGATCTTGTGTTTACAGTCCTGATGGATTCCTTTGAAAAGCCCTGCTCTTTTGGAAATGCACGGTGGATGCGTTGGAATAAAAAGTAAATACTACTTTTAAATATTTCCTAAATGAAAAATGTGACCAAACATGTGAAAATCCTCTGCTCTGTGATGAATGACACCAAATCCAACATGCCTTTGTTACAAAATGTTTACTGTGAGCGTTGATCCAGCAATGCAGTCATTTCCAGCCTTTTGAGCTGACTGACACCTTCATGAGTTTGTAGACTTTGTGACTTTTCCTTCCTGTCCTTAAAGTGCCATATACCACTTAAAAAATATTAAAGTGACTTCGAATTAAACTTGATTTGAGAATTTTATAACCCTTCTGGAGATCCCTGGAAATATTCAGGGGTGTCAAAGCCCAGGCTGGTAATCACTGCTATAATGACATGTCCTACTCCCCTAGCCTGCGGGAACAATATTACCCTAGAGTTCCGTGTGGGCCCAAATTTACTAGACTATTCTTTAAAGCCTTAAACAGAATAATAGTACATTCCAAAGGGCAGCACACCCGAAAAGCTGGCCTCAGAGGACAGTGTCAATTTGTTATCCTGGTAACCCTGCTGTGGCGGCAGGAACTGGGCACTTGCAGCTGTTCCTGAGACCACTGCTGAAGCAATATGCCCGCCAGCGATTAGTTAAGTGGAGAACCTGCAGAAATGGAAGCTCATCTATGGTTCATGCTTGCTGTGTGCTAGGGTGACCATGTGTCTTTAAAAAGCCCTACACGGACACATCCCCATCCTCATCAAAAGATGAGATTCTGAAGCTAATAGCCTGTTATGGGACCACGGTCACAGAGCCAGGATTCAAACATGAATCTTGCTAACAGAAACCCTGCTCTGCCAGCCACCTTGCCATCCTAGTGGGAGGGGCCACCTTCTCTAAAACCCATGCCTCTTTGTTTCTATTCTGGATTTTTAGACATTCCCTAAAACCTTCATCTCCACATCCCAAGCAATGGCCTTGCCTAATAGAGCTTCCAGAAAAGACTGTAAACCCTACTTTTGCCATTCCAGGACAAGTGTTGGGAGCTGCCTGTGATTCTTACACTTGACATGTGGCTAGTTTTTGAAGAATTGGATGTCTAATTTTAAGCCTCTTCCTGTGTACAAACTGCCATACTAGATGGCACACAGCATACGGATAGACATTACTGTGGGAAGTTCCAGGGCCTCCACTTCCCCAACTTCTGCAAGATCCAAGTTACTCTGTGAAGATGAGGGTATGATTATGAGAGACGATTACAAGAAAGGAAAATGGTGACTACCATCCAGAAATCCTTTGGTGGACTGAAACAAGACACAGGCTACACTGAAACTCTAGATCACTCATGCACTGTTTCCCCAAAGTTCTAAAAACTCCCTGATGTGAGGCTCCTAAACAGTTGGGAGGCTGGAAAGTAGTGTATCTATGAGGACAAGATGAGGGGGTGGACGAAACTCTTCTCAAATCAGAAGCTACATGGTTTACGCAGGAGCAGCTGGGTCTTACAAAAGGGAGTAACTCTATGCTGTCTGGGAAAAGGTGAGCCAGCTCTGGTGAGCATCTTCCGAATTTCCATCTGGTCTGGGTGGCAATCATGCTTGTCCCTTCACAGATTGACACAAGTCCCAGTTTTAACATGGTGACTCAGGTTAAGAATGTGAACTGCCAGTCTGCCAGCAACAATTTATGGGTCTCAGGGCCGCCTCCGTAAAAGCTGAGGTTTAAACGAGAGACTTGACGGTACAGACCCAGGTAAATATGCCTTCAGAGGCAGAATGTGCCATCATGTCAGTCTCCATGACTTTATCTTGTGCCAGATGTGAAACACTGAATGGATTACAGATGGGCTAATATGATGAACATCAGGTGTGAGAGACTAAACTGGTACCTCACCTGTCCATGCAGGGCCACCCAGTGGGGAGTATGGGAAGACACCTTGCTGACTGGGTCACCCAGAGATACCTGACTTTATCAAACCCTACATCCTGTGTTGTCTATGCACAGGATCCCAATTATAGTCAGACAGAAAAGCTAATCCAAAAGTTACATATCTAACCTGGGGAAATCATCAAATAGACAATAGTGTAAGATCCTGTTTGAGTTGTTATTTCTCAAAATCATCTCTGGATCTTAAGCTATGTACACATTCATATATATATACTGATGTAATCCATCAGCTATTCCAGAAGTTTTAATCTCTTAAATTTCCAGATTAAAAAGTCATAAATTCAAATATTTTCCTGTTACGTGGACAGGAATAATTCAGCCCTAAGTATTACTGGCAAACTACACAACTAAGTCACAAAGCAATTTTGTGTGTGTGCTTATAAAATGTGTTTTAAAATTAACCGTGGAAGATCTGATTTGAGGCATGGCCACCTCTGCTTCTCCTCCACACATTCGGTGGCAAACAGTCCAACTGGCTTGTGACAGGAAGCCTTTGTGAGGCATGCACTGTTAGCGAGGGTACACTGCAAGGGTCTGTGGTGTGTAAGCGCACACCTGTGAAGGTGTGGACACAACACAAAACCAGCTGCCACCTTCCTCTGAAGGACACAGCCCTGGGCTGAGTGCTCATCACACTGTTTAAGACCTTCAGAAAGAGGAGGAAGGGAAGGGGAACAGGGACGGAGGATGCTCAGCAGGGAAGAATGTACACTGCTTGATGGGATTAGAGTTGTGATGAGTATTGTAGTAAATGCTGAGTCAGAGGGCAGTGACACAAGCCCACCAAACATTTCACCAGAAGTGCTTTAATTGTTTAGTATCTCACAGTTGTCACGTAACAATCTGACAGATCCCAGGATTCCTTCCAAAAACAAGCACGAAAAACAGCATCCCAAAAGAATGCCTCTGTCTTCATTATGGTTTCTCTGGCTTGCTGCTGTTGGAGCTGCTTTCTCACAGTGCAGCCTCCAGGGGCTCAGGAAGGCTGGGCTGTTCTGGTGGACCAGCGGGTGCTCCTGGGTCAGTCTCACAGTGCAGCCTCCAGGGGCTCAGGAAGGCTGGGCTGTCAGGTGGACCAGCGGGTGCACACAAACAAGTCTATACTAGACAAGCTGCTTAGGGAGGGGTGAACATGGCTACGCACAAGCATGGACACACCTAACATGTTACAGTATACCACCAAGAAATAAAGCTACAGAAAATGAAAACCAGGTTAAGCTGTGACCAAATCATGGTAGAACTCTTGTCTATGCCTGCAAAATAGTTGCCAAGATGAGTGGAAGCACCTCATTTGACAGTTTTGTATATGAATTTTATTTAGATTTAAATTTAAATAAATTTATTTAGGTTTAAAGTTTTTATTTTATGCATGAGTGTTTTGGCTGCATGTATGTACAACACATGCATGCCTGATGCCTGAAGAGTCAGAAGGTATCAGATCCCCTGAACTGGAGTTACAGATGGCTTCAGGCTGTCATGCCAGGTGGGTGTTGGGGACTGAATGCTGGTCCTCTGCAAGGCAGTGAGTGCTCCTTAACCACTGAGCTATCTCCCCAGACCGCATTCTTTGACTTTTAAAATCAAGATCTATATAAAGGCACACACTGAAATGAGTGAAATTTCTAAGGAAAGGAACGAGACTCCTAATATTAAATATGTCTGTCAAAATCAGACCTAGAAACACTGAAAGACTGTTTCAAAGAGAGATCATTTGAGACTCAATCTAGAAAGTTCCACACAGTTATTATTGCTCTCAAGAAATGACAGTGACAACTTTTGTATATTCCTCCCTTACTGTGCCTTTCTTTAATAGGATGATTTCTCATTTTTTAAAATCATTTTATTACAAACAAAACCAAAACAACCCTGCATTTTATTTTCAGAGAATCAAACCAGTGACATGTTCACATACATTAGCCATATGCAACCCTTAGACCCGTGTTTCTGCTCCTTTGTGGTCAAAGCACAGTTAGTGGCTCATTTCATGCTGGAGTTTATGATGAATCAGGAAACATTTGCTCTCTACAAAAAAAAAGTATCAGAAGTCTATTTTGGGAGAAATTATGCAAACATATATTTTGTGAGAAATTATTGCAAACACATAAAAGCAGGTTAAAAAAATAAATCTCAAAATGTCATAAATGTCAATTTCAATATATAAAAGTAAAAATAGTAATTATAAGTTTTAATCTGCATATAAAATCTTATCAAAACATTAAATACAATCCTAAAAAATGTTTCTTTTTCATTGGTTATTATAGCTAATTGGCAAGTATTTAAAAAACAAACAACTACAACAAAACAAAACAGAGGCACCAACATGGTGAGACCAAGGCTGTAGGGCGCCAGCCTTGAACCTGCATCTGAAGGATGCACAGGGCTGGAATATTGCCAAGGCCGCCGAGGACAAGTCTCTCAAGCCTAAATTACACCTCAGTAGCATTTTCCAGTGTTCTAAAGTTATCAGTCTCATGAAAAATGGTTTATGGCCAATAAGTCCATAGCCCTTGGACATATGCCTGCCCCACAAAGCCTTCACACCACTGAAGGCTCAGAAACCTGCAGTGTGTGTGAATCTGAGTCCATCATGACTGGCATGAGAATCCTTTACCAGCCATGACTAGTATCATGTGGACTGCACTTTAGAAAACACCGATAATAAGAAATGGAGGGAGAACAACACAGTCTTTTGGCCCAGCTTCGAGGCATCAAGATGTTAACAGCTGGTGCAGGGACAGTATCTGACCTTGTTTACTGGCCCTAATGAACAGATGTCACTGTTCTAATGGAGGTCTTAATTCAGGGCAAGTGGCAATGAGTCTCCATGCCACTGACCGCACAGTGAGTGAGCTGCCAAGAGTAAGTTCTCAACATGTGTGCTTTTCCTTATCGTATGGCTTATTTTGCTCTGCAGTGCGTACTTTTCCCAGTGTCCATCAGATGGTTCTGCCCTCTGGAATAGGACCTTTGCGTTTTCCCGGCTCTCTTGTTCGGAGCGAAGTCAACTTGCAGGTAGACTGTCAGTATGAAGGCTAAAGAGCTGCTCTTCCAAGAAGGCACCCCCAAGCCCATACTGCGTTTCATGTGTGCTGACTTCTTCAGGTGACAAGTGGCTCGCTCCGAGAACAAAGTCTGCAAACCTAAGAAATTTTAAAGTTACTGTTGTCACAGGGGTTTATCTGAATGTGTGCCTCTATGCTTATCCCCTCTGATTAAGCCTGACTGTGTCAGCTGAGGGAGGCATTTACACGCAGTAGAGACTGGCTTATGCAGTCTTCTGCAGACAGCCGTGCAGGGGAGCAAATGTGTGCAGGGTTATGAAGCCCCAGCATGCCAGGGACATCCAGTCACTGGCTCATCTCCTCCCTGTGCCCCAGCATGCCAGGGACATCCAGTCACTGGCTCATCTCCTCCCTGTGCCTTGTGAGTGAAGTGTGTTGCTCATGTCTCAGTGTCAATGCCTGGTTTCATCTACATGACACACAAGGTCCATGTTTTGTCACACCTTAGCAGCCCTCCCACAGCTCTCGTATAGATGTAATCAAGAGAAATGTTGCTCCTAAGCAGCAATGTGTGCTCAAAAATACTGTGTGATTTTCAAATCACTCACAACATGAGCTGGGGCCAGAGGGGGACTTACTTTTTAGGAGCCTGGAGTCTGGAGACGGCCAGCCAGGAAGGGAAGTCAGGCCTGCAGCAGGCACGGCGCAGTTCCTCGAGAGCGCTGGCTGTTGAAGCCTCAGCTTGCTCCCTGTACTCATCGTCAGTGAGAAACCTCACCACCAGTGGTTCTGTTGTGAACCAAGACCTCATTTTCCTAAAACACAGGATATCGGGTTGCCAGACTCCAACCCTTAGGACATAACAAAAATCCGTGTCTTAAACATCAACAGTAATACCCCTGAACTCCTGCACAGCACCCGTGCTTTCCTCTGTCCATGACTGAGGAGAAAGAACAGGCAGCGCTGGCCTACTGTGTTTCCCGGCTTACCTGACCATCATAGCAATGTCCTTTGAGAATCAATTTCTGATTGAGATGTTGATTATAAACATTTTAGTGAGTTCTAATCACACAACTAGACAAAAATTCTGGCTTCCTTACTCTGCTGATTGTCTTTGGCACAAACAGAAACAAGCTTTCAGTATGTCCTTTTATGGAGACCAACAGGGACATCTCTTACTACAAGAAGCTCATCTGTGGGCTCTCACTTCCACCTAGTGGTGGAATCTCTGACTAACCAGACCAGGAGAGGAGTGCCACACAGATCCTGTGTGGAAAAGAACTTACATTAGTTTTCCTTTGGCTACATACAAACTAAGAAGCCAGGGACCAGATTTTCTTTTCTAATCAGAAAAGTAATAAATATAATAATGATATAACAATATGTACTTTAGGAATCCAAGAGGCTAATAAGGACATATTCGTGATAAGTTTTTAAGTAACAGTTGTGCCACATCAGCGAGTCTTTTTTTTTTTTTTTTGGTTTTTCGAGACAGGGTTTCTCTGTATTGTTTTGGAGGCTGTCAGTCCAGCCCAGCCTCGAACTCACAGAGATCCGCCTGCCTCTGCCTCCTGAGTGCTGGGATTAAAGGCATGCGCCACCACCACCCGGCTCATCGACGAGTCTTAAAAAAGTTTGCAGGTAACTTCAGATCTAACTTAGTAGAGATTTCCCAGGGTTTAAAAACACACATTTTTTATTGAGAGCTGAGACCATAAAGATCGCTTCCCTTTTCAGGTTTGTCTAAGGTTCAATGAACTGGACTAAAGAACCAGTGACATTGTTTCTTTCTCCTCTTCTGAATACCTGGACAGATTTCCTACAGGAAGAACCAGGCTCAGGCCCAGATCACCCTCTAGTCCCTTCCCAGCCCGCGTCACTCATGCCCGTCACATGAAAGGAAGGAATGCAGTATCACTGTCTCTCAGTCACTGTACAGATGAAGTGGGGCGTTTATGCAAATTGCTCAGCAGCTAATCCAAAGAATCAGAAACGTGTATGTAATATGTAAACAGCTTTTTTCAAATGAGAAAGTCTGGTGCAAACGTCATGACATTCTTTCTCTGGTCTCAATGTCTCCAACTTGTGCTGCTACCTTTTAGCCTGTCGCTTACCTCTACATGGGCACCCTGTACTGTCACTGATGCTTTCACTCCAGTGACACTGCCACACATGTACCCACCAGGTTCATAAACGACCTGTCACCATGGATTCTCCTGCCTCACAATCGTTTACTAAACATCTATTAACTCGCTTTACCAGCCTTAATCTGATTCTCCAAGTCTCTATCAGTGTCTGCGTGGACTACAGCAATGTCTAAGAATGTCTTCTACTGTAGGAGCCTCCCTGTTTAGCAACTCTATGCCAGAAAGCAGCCAACAATTGCTCGTTGCCTCAAGTTTAATTTTCATCTGTCAGGTGTATTTTTATTTTTCATTAGATTAACTACCATTTGAATTCCGGGCTACATTTGCAGTTTTCCTGGAATATCAGATTGAAAGCAGAAACCACATTGGCACATAGTGACAATCAGCTCCTGCTGGTTTTAACTACTGCCTTTGTGATGGGGGTATTGTCAGAATTTCCCACTGTCTCGCTCCTGTCCCAGCCCAAGCATTTGGACTTATGTATTCTGTGTAGGCAGGCATCAGAGAGAACTAATGGAAACGCATACTAGTTAGCCCTGTACCACCCCCCATATGCAGGCCAGATTCCACAGTGCAGCCTGTGGGACTCCCCCGTCTGGCCAGAGCACACCTCATCCACTGTAGCGACAGCACTGGTATCTGATGATGGCACTATGTGGGCCTCTCTCTCTGTCCAAGCACTCCACATTTGTCCAAGGGTCATTCTAGGCCATTACTAAAGAGTCAACTCAATGATATCTCTCCAGGAAGTCATTCACAGATTCACACCACTTTAGTCCCTGAGCAAGCATTGTTTTCATACTTACAGGGTACTTAAGTGTGGGGGCCGAAAGGTAGCTCAGTGGCTAAGAATGCCAACTGCTCTTCCAGAGGACTCACATCAGGTGACTTGCAACAGCCTGTTACACAGGGTCTGATGCCCTCTGATGGCCATTCTGGGTACCCACAAACATGTAGCAGACACACACACACATACCCCACACACAAACACACACATCACACCACACACACACCACACCTCATACGCCACACACTGAAACACACTATACACAGACACACACACCAAATACACCACACATATCACAACCACACACCACACACACATAGCACACATACCACAACACACACAGACATACATACCGCATACCAAACACACACCACACACAAAGACACACCACAGACACACACACCACACACACATTTGTTTTGAAAGGCAGAAGATATATAAATGTATGCCCACATCTCAACAAGTACACCTCAAGGGCAGGGCCATCTCCGTCTGTGCTCCTGACACAGATCTACATACTAAGGAAACGAATAACATATTGTGTCAGCAGAAGTTACCTCATCTTTCTTTCTGTATTTTCACAAAGCCTAAGTCTTAATTTAAAACCTAAAACAAAGCCAGTCTTTAGTAAAATGATTTGAATAACTCCTTCCAGTCATTTATGATACATTTTCTCCTAATTCTTATCTCATGAGCATAATTAATATCACCATAGCAATCTTTACTCTAATGAAAAGAAATGTATGATAAAGGTAGAAATTTAGGCAACTCAGAACCCAAGCAATTTTGCCACTGGTTTTAATGAGCTCTAACTACCCAGTAATTGGTGTTTGATTCAATGGAGATGGGTATAAAGCTTAGAGCTCTTTTTCCTTCTGTTCTTTCAGAGTGAAACCTCCAGACAAAACACAATCACTTGTAGATGTAACCAAAGTATTTCTTAAACCAATAAATGAAACCAGAGTTTAAAATGTCAGAGTTGGTAGCACTGAAAAGATACCCACCACCTCAGATAGCTGAATGCTCTCAGTGGATAGCGCAGGCTCCAGGAAAACAGGAGGAGGACCATGATGGCATAGGCAAACGGAGGCACAGCCACACCACTGTAGACCAGGACCAGGGAGAGGAACTGCAGTGTCCACATTAGAAAGTCTCTGCTCCACTTGTCAGCGAGAGGTCCATGCCTGTAACAGGCGGCAAAGCTACAAAGCCCAACAACCAAGATGTAGCCTGGAGATGCAGAAGAAGGGCAATAATTTAAACCTGAACTTGAGAACTGATGTGGAAAGTCTGGCAGAGCCTTGATTGAAAAATAACATCTATTAGAAAACCCCAATTTAAAAAAATGAAGAAAACAAGAAACATTTCCTTGTCCTAATGAAGGTTGGAAAACCACACCTACAGCTCATTAGTCCTTGTACTTAAGCACACAGGCTGCCTCTAAAGGTGTGTTATAATTATCTTCTGTATGTTTACATGTGCTTGGTACCCACAAAGGCCAGAAGAAGATGTCAATGCCCTGGAACTGGACTACGGGCAGTTGTAAGCTAACCAATCTACATGCTGGAAACAAACTCGAGGCCTGAAAGAGCAGTGAGCACACTAAACCACTGCATGGTGTTTCCAGACCAACAGGCTGACTTGTAGTAATTTAAGATGTATACTAATAATTACAATATTACATAGTCAAGTCTTTGAAGTCCAGTGTCCTGGGTGAACAAATGGGTCATGGTTGCTTTGGTCAAAAGTAAGCCAGTAGATTCCGCACAATGCTATAAACCCTATTTTTAATGTTTATCGTCTAGTCGCTAAAGGCAAATGCTATATTACAGAGGAGCAGGTAGTCACCCTTGGCCAGCCACACCCACTGCATCGCTACCAATGGTGTGACACTGTAGGTTCCAGTGCCGTCAGATGGGAAGTGCGTATCACTTCTAATGATTCCCACCACATGCTTAATCTGTTTCTAAGCAGCCCTTGAGATTCGATTTCCTATTTGCAGTACATGCAGAGGAGAAACGTTAAATGATGCCACAAAACAGGCATCAAAAAAATCCAGAGTGAACCTTTCACAGGATGCCTCACTCGACTTCTCCTGCACATCCTGTGACCAAAGGAACCATGATGGACCAGGAGCTACGGGCCTAGCCAGTGCTACAGAGGCTCAGCACGATGTCAGGTTATACAGCCAGGCAGCAAGGGTAACTGGAAATCATATCACAACTGGGGCAATAGGTGACTCTATGCAATTATTAATCTTTAATATTTACTAGTGGGGTTAAGGATATAACTCAGTGGCACAACAGATGCCAAATTTACATGCCATCCTGGGCACAATCCCTAGCACTAACAACAGTAATTAAGAGTTATTTGGTTATATAGAAAATGCTCTTGTTTTTTGGAGACAAAGAATAAAGAACTTAGAGGAAAATTCCACATTAGCAGTAAATTATAACTACTTTAATATAATAGGAAAGTAGGCTAAAAGAGTGTTTAAGATGAATTGTTTTTGTTTTAGCAACATTGTCCTTATATGTGAAATCTGATGCCAATGGGGCTCCAATTCTCATTATTTCCTAACAAAAATCAAAAAATTTTGTAACACAGAACAAGGGATTAAGTGGCAATTTTCCTCTTGGTTTCTGAAAAGTCAAGTGTCCTTTAGTAACACTTCCTACCTTTTGTACAGGCTACCTAAAGAGAACTGAGAGACGAAGGGAAAGTCATCTTTAGAGGCATTTACACCTCAGCTTAGATGTGGCTAGAGTTTAGCCACAAGTCTGAAGCATTTTTACTCTTTTGATGATTTGTACAGAAAACTAAGGAAGGTTAGAAAGGAAAATAGTTTAGAATGGGATCTGAATGAACTAAAACACTAACCATGGGAATGAAATAAAATATTATTTTTAATTGCACCTCTCCTTACATCAAATGAAGATGTATATGGAGAGAAAAACATGTCAGAAGTCCTCTGCTTGCACTTTTCAACCTGACCAATGATGGATGGTTCTTTTGTGTATTTACCTACCTAATACATGTATTCTGTTTCCATACCACAGCCACTTCAGATCTTCCATCAACTGGCACACAACATAAACTGAAGCAAACCAACAACCAATCATTAGCGCCCCAAACGTGCTATACTGTGTGCAGAAGAAAATAAATGACACAATATAGATATATTGGTTCATTCACTCTCATAAAAATAGAAGCAAACAAACAGATTCTTTTTTCTAGAAATGTCTAGGTCAAGTCAAAGTTAAGTACTTATTTACTACTCTCTGAGTCTCACTGTTCAAGGCATGGTTGTTGTGGGATTCCCGCCTGGGTCCCGTAGCCACTTTAGTTCCCAAATAACACACGAGACACTACATTAATTATGAAGCTGTTGGTCATTTACTATGATTTCTCATTGGCTAGTTCTGACTTAATTATTAACCCATAACTACTAATATATTTTTTTATAAGGTCTTATCTTTCCGAGGACGCAGCCTCATGCATCCTCTCTTCCTGGGATCACATGGCAATTCTCCACTCTTGACTACAATTCCCAGAATCTTCTTGGACTCCTAGTCCCACCTATTTTGCTTCCCAATTGGCCAACAGTGCCTTATTTATCAATCAATCAGACAAACATATACACAGAAGGACTTACCCAATCATATGGTCATCAGAGGAGAGTTATTTTACATAGAAGCTTAATGGCATGTAGACTTGGGTCCCACCTCTAGACCAGAATCTACATTTTTAGCAAGCCTCCCAGTTGGGTAACATGTATATTAAAGTTGGAGAGCTAAAAAGTATAAAATTATCTCAAGACAATGCTGGTATTTAGAGCTTTAATCACAGTTACCACAAAGTTACAGTCATGAATCAATACTTATTTATTATTTGGGACATTATTTTATTGAAGACATAGAGAAGAAACAACAAGAACTAAGAACCCAGATGAAGTACCACCATTAGGTAAAGCCCCAAAGACTCAGGATCACTCTCCCAAGATACATTTCAAAAAGGGTACCAAAAACATCACCAGACAGTATAATCCTACATGTTACTAATAAACACAAACTGACTCCAGAAATGGACACATTTTAAGGTCAATGTGTACAGCAGAGGAGCACAGTTGAATTAGGAAGTGTGACAATATGAATGAAATTTGATTAACTTTTTAATATCCCTAAAAGCTTGGTTCCCATTTTTTACTCACTTGCATTTAAAATACCTACCTTTGGAATGTGCCTCTTCATCATCAGAAGGACAAAGACTGGTGTCATTAGAACACCTAACATGGTACCCGAAGAGTAATAGAAAGCAGGGCTTCTGTCAAGACAGAGAACAAGGCCACGTCAACAACAAACAGCATTTTCAATAATAAAAACTGAAAAAATATCATAATGCTCAATGTGGCAATAGGGATCAGTAAGGAATACTAAGAAAGAAAAACTAACCACATTTCATATAGTTTATATTGGAATTGAGAGTTTCAGTAAATAGACTGCTGATGAATGTGTGTATCTTCCAAATTCAGAATGGGATCCAACAGTATATGCACTTGTCACATAGCAAGCACTTGCCTGAGAGCTTCCCGTGAATTTCCAGATACCCACGGATAAATCTTACAGAGGAGGAAACTGAGATATCAAGAAGTTAAAAGACTTTTCCAAGTGAGTCAGCTGCTGGAGGATTCAGGACATTAGCCTAGCTCATCAGTATCTAGGTTTTCCTTTTCCTGCTACAGATCCATCATCCAGTCAGAAAAGACAACACTACCTGACAACCTGACCACATCCTAAAGAAGAGCTCAAAAGTGAACAATGGTGAGAATGATGGAAAAAATACTGGTACAAAGCAGGCTGGGCAGGTTAAGAAGTAAACATTGGCAAGAGAGTAGTTTTTATAGGCTAAGTTACAAGAAACAAAACATCAGGGTACCATGCGTGTCCAAGAAACAAGTATTTGTCACATCCAATATCCAAAGTCAGACCTACCAATCCAGGAGGCAAATCTAATGCAATAAGACAGCAAGCCTCTGGCATCAGAAAACCTGAGTACAAAGTTGGCACCCATAAGAACAAGTCCAGTGATGATGGATATGAGTTCTATAAGCAACAAAATAAGAAGAGCAGTACTAATGTAAGCAAGCATACTCTGCACCATGTACGAGTCTGCCATAGAAGCATGTACTGCTGTCTTTAAAGATGATTCTATGCTGCCTTCAGCTCATCATTTGTAAACCCAGAAGAACCACAAACACAAGTGTGCAGTGGTGTGCAAACATTCAACACAGATTCAGAAACAATGTATGTGCCTTTGAATCAGAACACTACAATTACAAAAATAGACACTTACTGGCTCAAAGTCTTTGCATAAAAGAAGAGGAAAATGCCTGCCACAAACACAAGGAGGAGTTTGAAATCCACAACTGGAAAATAAAAAGATACAAACACCACAGATGTTTTGTGTCAGTATATAAAGTTGTCAACTTACTGAAAGTCCAGTCAACTATGATGACAACAGACTTACTGTTTCGGTCCACGCTTACTGTGTAGGTAAACACCCTCCCGATGGCTTTCACAGAGAAGCATACGGTTTCTCCGTATGGAGTGATAAGCATGGTCATTTCGTTAGACTCCTCTGGTGCCCAAAAGTTATGAATCACACATCTGATAAATGACAGAATGCCTTCTGGATGCTGGCAATTATGACTTCCTGTGATATATACAAATCTGAGCAGGCCTGGACTGGTAACTGTCACCTACAAAACAAGAACGGATTAATCCGGGCAGAATCACAACCTTCCCCTAGCTCAGACAGACGGGTAAGAACCCAGGAATGGCTGAGGGAGGACGGCTCTGACATACAGGCTAGGGCTCTGGCCCTGAGTGGCTGCAACATCACACACTTGCATTTAGCTTACGGATGCCTTGGGGAGTGGATGTTTTACCAGATGTGATGGTGCATATGTGGCTGGAGTCCCACCACTTGGGACTCAGAGATAATGGGTCACAAGTTTGAGGTCACACTAAAGCATGGAGGTGCTAGAGACCTTGGTGTGAAGGCAGGACTGACTGAAGTGTTTACAGAATGGGAGAACCGTAGGCTGCAGACATGAACTTTAAAAAGGAATTGTATTAACAAGCTATTTAAAATTAAAATAAAAATGGAAAAAAAAGGAATTGTATTATAGTGAGAAGTAGAGAAATAAAAAAGTTAGAGCAAAAAACGGAGTCCACGGAATTGTGACATTTTACAAATGGAAAAGTACTACTGTCACTTCTTTGTAGGAATCATCCAGTGGAGAGGGAAGTGCTTTGGGGATGACTTGAGCAGGCAAGGATGGGTACGACCCAGGATACCAGTCAAGGGCTCAAGCATAGGCATCTCTTCCTTGGCTGACATTTCATCCCCACAGGCAGAGAGGAGAGCACGTGCCTGCAGGTGCTCATAGGTGGGCGAACAGTGAGAAAAATACGAGCACACAATCGTTTCTGATTGTTTCCATTTTGTCTTTTTCCTTCCCATATATGACCTCAATCTTTACTCTTTACAATTTTTAAATTGAAAATAATTTTTTCTCATCCAATATATTATGATCATGGCTTCCTTTCCTCCAACTTCTCCCAGATCCTCCTCACCTACCCACCCAAATCCACACCCTTTTTCCCCTCTGATTAGAAAATGAAGTCATCTAAAATAGATAAATAATAAAAAGCACAAGAAACACACCTAGAGACACATATTCACAGACACAAATCACATAATTGGAAAACAGGATATATAAGCAAAAGATCTGTAAGAATAATAATTATTTAAAAACCTATAAAAATATCATTGAATTCCTTTTGTGTTGCCCATCTACTGCAGGACATGGGGCCCGCCCTTATGTGTGGTTTGTATACCCAGGGAAACCCCACTGGAGAAAATTAACTTTTTTTTACACAGTTGTCAATCGGAGCTGGTTTCTCAGGTGGAGAGGGGGCGTGTGTCTACTCCCCTCTCGATGCTGGAACCCATCTGGCTTAGACCTGTACGGGCCCTGTGCATGCTGCCAGTCTCTGGGAGTGCATGTGAGCATCAGTCCTGTCGTGTCTAGAAGGCCTTGTTTCCTTGGCATTTTTCACCCTCTCTGGCTGTCAGGGACCTCCTGCCATCAACCAGGTATGGCTGCCTCACGTACTCATAAGAAAAGACCCTCATAGAAAGTATGTGACTCGGGACCACCCTGCTACCTGCCAAATTCCAGAAACAGACCTGCGGCTTATCTAGGGCGTAGGCTTAATAGAAGGTGGATTATGAAAGATAAAGTTAGAGTCTGCAGTCAGGTTACCAGAGGACACAGGATGCCCTACCCATCCCACTGACCTTTTATCCGCCAGGTTCATCGCAGCTACAGCACATCCTCTATTCCTTCCCCTCCTCCCTTCTCCTATATATCCTTTTGGGATGAATAAAGTTGTCGCTTTGATCAGACTCTTGTCTTGGCGTCTGTCCTTGTATCCCCTGCCCCCCATCTTTTTCTTAGGTGTCCACCAGACCCACGTTGAGTGTCCTGCGGGTCGGGACATCTGGATCTTACTATCTTTCCACCCCCTGTTCCTCAGAAGATTTCTTCCCCATTCTTAATGAAGTAGAAGAATCATCAGCCAAGAGTGAAGATGGGAGGAGGTTCTGGAGTGCTGAAGTCAGAGCAGAATGAAGGAATAGGGTGTGAGGTATGGATTACCTCAGCTTTCCCGTCCCAAAAGCTCCCTGGAAAAAATGTAAAGATGCCGGGCATAGTGGCACAAGAAAGCACATGACCCTCAAACATCTTCTTCTCTAGAAATGGTACAAGTCGCCACCATGTCCTGGGACAAGAGCAGACTCTCCTCAGCCTACAGCGCTCCTTCCCCAGCCAGCCCATGGTAATTCTCTTACTGAAGTCTCAATGTGTGCTCTCAACACGTGTTCACTTAGAGCAGCGGTTCTCACCGTCCTAATACTGTGACCGTTTAACACAGTTCCTCGGATTGTGGTGACCCCAACCATAAAATTATTTTGTTGCCACTTTATAACTGTAATTTTGCTATTGTTATTAATCATAATATAAATATCTGCGCTTTCTAATGGTCTTAGGTAACCCTTGTGAAAGGGTTGTTTGACACCCTCAGTAAGATTGTGACCCACAGGTTGAGAACCACTGAGTTAGTATATTCATTAGGAATGGTCAGGGGAAGGCCAGCAAAGATATGAGGAATTAATTCCTCTCCCACATAACACCTCCTTGAGCTCCCATGTGCCCCTCAAGCTATCTTTTATCCTTTTACATCACCAATATGTCATACAAAATATATATTTAAACTCCAAGGGGGTGCATTTTAATTCCACACTCTTAAGACATGATATAAAAGTAGGCCCTAACCTGTACAGTTGACCACACATATGTCCACTCTACTTGCGAATTTTGATTGTAGCAGTAACAGTCTGACACAGTTGTTTTAATTATGTCTGTTTCCTTCAGAGACTTACATCTTGGAACTGAAAGATAAAAAATAAAATAAATGGGTTTCCTAAGTATTTAGTTAATTTAATGTGTTCAAAGGGAGACTGTCACAGTTTGTAGTATTCTATGATCAAAAATTCTTCTACATGGTGATTAGAGTCCTTCATTTATCCCAGTCTAGCAAGTGTCTGTCTGAAAGTGTCACATCTAGAGTCAACACTCTTAGGTCACATGTGAGCATTGTACACACAGACAGAACATCATGTCTTGGGTCTTAGAGCAGATGGCGAGAGTTTTGGGGAAGCTTCTTAGAAAAGAAATGCAAGCAGAAGATTCAAGAATAAGTGGCAAGCAATAAGACAGTATCAGGATAGAGAGATGACAAATGTGAGCATTATCAGATGAGCGACAAGCAAGCAAGGATGGAGTGAATGGATGCAAGGAGTCATTTGGACACCTCAGCTGGAGGTAAACAATGGCCAGTTCTACATAAGCACTCTGCATTTCACCCCAAAAGCAAAGCACAAAAGGACTTCAGGTAAGTATCAAAGACATGGCAGAAAACAGATGACATTAAAAAGGGCTCAATTCAACTGTCTAGTCAGGTCTGGGCAGGAGAGTCACCAATTATCAGACAGAGGCACACACAACAGGATGAGGCACCTACCACCTCCAGGACCCGTAGGGAGGAGAGGACCCAATTACTTAGGGTATGAGGAGAGAGCAAGAATAGATTTCAGAGCTCTACACTTTGGAGAGTCAGTAGATAAAGGAGATGAAGATGAGAAGGTTTCTAGTGGATGGAGAGATAGTGAGCATTTACCCAGATCAGAAGCACTGAAGCAGAGAGGTAGATCTGTGAGAAGAACAGGAGATGAGTTCAATTCTGGACAGACAGACATACGATCAGTTTTCACTGGTTCTAAAGAAGACAGACAGTTCTATAGCCCTGGAGCTGGATATAGAAGGTAAGTATGAGTGTGAGCACACACACAGAACATTAATGTAGCATTTAGCAAAGCCACCTGAGGGAGGGGGCAGGTCCTCTAGTGTAGATTTCATGTGATAAATGCTACAGAAGAGTTAGAAACTCCTTTTCTTCTGAGACCACTGCTGTGTTTGAATTTGAACCAAGTAAGGTGTTTGGAGTCCAAGACAGAGTGTCCAACAGGAAATGCCTTTCAGGAATAGGAAACAGGAACAGGGAGTATTTGTGGGTACCCGGAGAAATGAGCCCTTTGCCCTATTCAAGTACAGCTAAGGAAATCTGTAGACAAACCTGAAATGAAGTTATAACAAACTGTTGTATCAAAGTTGGGTAAGGACTAGGTAACCAGTAGCTACTAGTTGGTCATTAAACTGACATGGAGAATAATGTAAAATAAGCTCAATAGGTACGTTTCTTGGCCTGAAATGTCCTTTGTGACAGGCTGAAGCGAGGACAGTCCCACCTCCTAAAACAGTTGCACTAAAGTGACATCTGGTTATATAATGACCCAGGATATTCTATTGTGACAGATGAATCCTTTCATTTTTCCTCTTAGCATAGTGATGAAATACATGTGCCTCGGCTGAAAATATAAGAATCTAGGTCAAGAGCCAGGTTCCAAAGCAGTAAGAGGACACTTGAGAGACCGCCAAGCACAGGACACCGAAAATTAAAAACATACTGTATGCCTGTACATAAGACCCCAATGAAGAGAGCAGAACCATTTCTCTGAATGCATAAGACAGCCAAGATGGAGGCCTTCTTGGGTACAGCTGAGATACACACAGCTCAAAGGCAGCATGTCTGAAGGCGCAGTCTTAGGACGTCTAATGCTGGCAATCGGCTATAGAAAAGGAGGTCAAGAAGGTGATGTAAAGCTAGCATGTGCATGAGCAGCTGTGAGAATACAATGGCATACCTTGGAGGCCCCACTTCCTATCGAGCCAGAGGACGGAATGGAAGGCCTCAGGCTGGCAGTCCCACATCGCATGCTCTCTACCTCCTGCAGGGTCTCTGAATAGGAACCAGAGCTAAACTGGGCAGCTAGAAATGAAAAATTTATACACTGAAGCCTTCATTGTGTAAGGAATTCATTTATCACTGGGAAAGAGCATGACCCAGCAGCAGGGAAGGTGAAGGGCATGGGGTCGCAGGTTCACAGCCCTAGTGTTCCAGAACTTCACACAAATGCTCATTCACAGTCTGTCATTTTGTCACCAGGTGTGCTTCATGCTATGCGGGCAGGGTGTGTGTGGGGGGGGGTAGTTAGAGGTGCCTCCAACAGTTCTCCCTGCAACTCCTCTATTAGTGAGCTCCATTATTTAAGGGCTGAATTAACTCCCAGAGAAAACTTTATGTCCATGGTCTGCAGAAGTATCTCCAGGGACTGAACTTGTAAACAAAGACTATCCATTGGGACCCAAGACTGTCTTCTAAATCACTGGATACCTGTAGCTCTTAAGAACAAGATGATGTGTACAAGTATAGTGCCATAGCATGGATGTGGGAGCAGATACTTCCATTATACAAGCAACATTAAGATTATTCCAACAGCCTTCTAGTTGGTTTCCCTACTCCCAGAACTAACTCTATGATTCCTCCACAACCTTTCTTCCAATAAAGCATCCAGATCTTTTATCAAAAGAGCATCACCGTCACTCAAGGCCCATTACATCCTCTAATCACTCCTGCTAACACCTACCCTCCTTTACAAAGGCCCAAGTACCTCCATGGCCTCCTCCTCCTCTACCTCTCTTGCTTGAGGGCTCCACCTATATCACTTCACTGACCCTCAGGTCTCCTTGGACTGCAACTTTCTTCCCTCAGATCTTGGCAGGGCTTAGCTGTCAATAGCTGGTATGTTTGCCCTGATACCACCTTCTCTGGGCCTTGTCCGAACACGGCCCAGACAACTATGCTCACTACGACTTACCCATGGCACTTCTTGTCTTACTATTTCTATGGAGTTACTGAGTCCTGCAACATTCAGGAACTTGTCATTTGCACATGTGTTGCAATCTGAGAGGATTAGAGGATTACCTGAGCAAACGTAACCCAGCCAGTGAAAACACAGCCAGTTTCCGTGAAGAGTCGCCAGCACGAGAGGAGGTTCACTCAGCCCTCCTCTTCAAACTTCCCTTGCAGTATCACTCCTGTGTTCAGGCTCCAGGCCACCCACTCCTGGGCCCATGCGGCAAGGAAGCCAAGTGTGAAGTCACCAGTATACCCTGAACTAGAGGGCAAGGCTGGCCACACCTAACAGCTAAGGACTGTCTTTCTTACTCCTCCTCAGATAGAGGAGGCCAAGAAGAGGCAAGAATCTTGGTTTTGACATCAGTGTATGCTATATAAGGGACTTCCTGGTTAGAACTTGTTCTGAATTTCCCCTCAGTCTTCAACAGATTAAGGAACATGCAGATGGAATTAACCATATTATCAAAGGCTTCGAGTCGGGTTTATGTGAACCAATGGGACAGGTGTCTCCATTTGGTTTAAATATCATGAAGCTTGTAATATTCAGCTGATGTAGTGTGGGACTGCACTGGCCCCCTGCTTCTGTGGCTTCACTTTCTACTGTGTCAGTTACCCTGAAATGAAATGGAAGAATTAAATGGAAATTTCCGGAGGTAAGCAATTCATACATTTCAACTAACTGCTGAGTATATTGCTAGTGTTGTTGTATTACTAGTCATTGTGACTCCTTCAGTGGGGAGGAGTGGCACTCATGATGCTCAGAGCTCTGGAGTTTCATTTATCTACTCGGGGCTCAGAATAAGTCCCTTGGGGAAAGGGAGCGTTACTGCACACACATAAAAGACATCCATCACCTGCTTTGTTACTAAGTCAAAAGCAAATGACTCCTCTAGTGCTTTCCTTGTTTATTAGCTTCCAAACGTCTAAGTATATTTAACTTAAAGAGTTTAGTCAGACATATGGCAAAAATATTCTGTTGAAATGTTAGGAGCAGGTAGTACTTACACCTACTTATAGATTCTTCTAAAAATGAAGAACGAAGACTTCTCAAGCCTTAGCAGATGTTAAACCACTTCCCATACCAAAAGAAAAAAAGAAAAAATTCATCAGCATTCTTCCTGGGAACCTAACCTTCCATGGTTTGCACATGGAAAAAATGACCCTCCAATGAAACCAGAACAGAAACACAGCAGACATGTAAACACACTCACTGCCATTCCCTTCATTAAACCTAGACTTGCTTCCTCTGGGACGGGAAGAAGTAGGAAAAATGAAAATGCAAAAAGCCAACAAACTGTCCTTGTCGGAGCTCAAATGCAATCAAATGGTTCCAGATGGAGTGATGATCTTGATATTTTTGGCAAATTCACATTTTTCAAAGGTGTAAGCCACATAAGTATCATCTCTCTTGTACTAACTCCAGTTTATTGCTTTTAACCCGAATATAAATCTTGCTTTTTATTCCTCCAATGACAGGAGAAAGGAACTGAAATTGGCACATCCCAACACACAGTCTGATTTTAACTCCAGGAGACATTTTTTCCCTTGCCACAGAAGAATATCAGGCTGTGAATCTGAGTGGAAACCTGGGAAGGCACTTCTGGAACCCCAGCTGAAGGGAAGCAGTTTCTATGGACCTGACCTATTGGTTTCAAATTAAAAGTCATTGGCTTGACGTTTCTCTTCCTTGGACAACTCCTGTGACAAGTGTCTGCCTTTTCTACAAACAGGGTGACAGAGGGCTGGTCTTAGAGTGGATGTTCTTCATGCCATGTCAGCTGGTATGTGCTTAAGGCAGGATATCACAGCTGGAAAAGGCCTTTGGCATAATCCAAGGCAGGCCTCCTATGTTTTGGACAGCTCCTACTTTATGGTAGGAAGGACCAACAGTCTTCCGTTACACTCAGTTTCACTTGCTGAAGCTTCAATTTTCTGTGTTCAGCCAAGGTCTGAAAATATTAAATGGGAAACTTCTCAAAGTAACAATATGTAAGTTCAAATAACTTTTTCCACAGCATTCATTATAATCACATTTTTAATTATCTTTCTCTTGCTCTACCTGACTTATAATTAAACTTGATGACAAGTATGCATATACAGGAGAAAAAGTATGTGTAAGGCTCAGTACTATCTGAGGTTTCAGGCAGCCATTTAAGGTGTATTTTTAAAAAACACACTTCCTGTGGGTGAGGGCATTTATTGTCTAGCGGTCTCATCCCAGGGTTCTTTGTAAAACCACAGCTTTTAGAGTAGCAGCAGTTCTTAGGCCTAGCTAGGCAAGGGGTTCTCACAGTGTCATTGAACACTCCAGGACAGTGGTCACCTCCTACATGCATTCAAAGAATATCTGGAATGACAAGGTAGAAGTCGCTATTTTTCTCTGCTGTGGACTTGAGTTTTAACACCTCGTGGGTATCTTACACAGGAAAGTCCTGGTGTTTCTTTAACATCCCTGGGGACCATTACCACTAGGTTATACCAAATCTGTAAGCCAGGTGTGACAGCCCTGTAAACTTGGGAGGTGGCAGCAGGGCATTCAAGGCCAGCCCTCTCTATATAAAAAGCACAAAGACAACGGAGGCACAAGGTATGTCAGAAGCTACTAACTCTCTTTCAGCCTTAGACGCCCTACCGACTTTGCAGGTGTGGGGAGATTATCCAATTAAAAGTCCATACTTGACAGTCTCCCTGGAGACCACGGCTGACCAGTGCAAAGAAGAATGCAAACAAGCGATCTTCTGAAGGATGTCATGGGATGGTAAAAATAAATGCTTAATTAAGCTTACAGAGAACTGCTGGGTTTTGCAGCTACAACCCAGCTGCGTCCTAGGGGCCGAGTTCAAGACTGGGGCATCCGCAGTGCTTTGCATATGATCAGCCACCCGGGTCACAGCAGCCAATCTGGGACAGAATTCCGGTTTCATTCTGAAGCTTTTACCCTTCTCTGGTTTTGAGTTTCGTGAGATTTGTGGAGACGGATAAAATAAGGTTTCAGACATAAACTGGTGACAAGGGGCCAGCTGTGTCGGTGCCCAGCGGTTTGATCCTGAACAAATCAAAATGTGAAGCAGCCGGATGCTCTCAGACAGGGGCGGGGCCTGGCCGCACCCACGCGTGACCCTGACGCCCAGAAGAAAGGCCCCCCGCCCGGAGCCGGGGTTACCTGACATCGCCGCCTCCTCCTCGCGCACCGCGACCGCGGGCAGCGTAGCCAGGGGCGGCAGCCAGAGAACCAGCCACCAGCGCCCGGGCGGCATCGCGGCCAGAGCAGCGGAAATGGCGCAGCCTCCCTCGAGCGGGAAAGCGGAGGCCAGGATGGAGGGGGCGTGTCCGGCCGTGGTCCCGCCCTTCCGCGGTCCATTGCAAGACCACTCAGAGGCCTTCAGGGGGCGCTCACCCCAGTAATGGCGGGGCGGGGCCGGCCGTGGTCCCGCCCTTCCGTGGTCGGTTGCGCGGCCGCCCCGTGGCCTCCAGGGGGCGCTCACCAGCCTCCAGGCTTCCTGGCTCTGCACGGACCAGGACGGCCACTGAAGAAGGGCAAGCCCTTCACAAGCCGCCTCCCGGAAATAAAACCATCAAGACCCGCTTAAATAAAAGCCAGTTTCTTTCCTTTCAGTTCCTCCCTTTCTCCTCTCTCTTCCTTTTCTGAAATACGACACCTTTCAAACAAAACAAAACAAAAGATCAACGAAAAACCACCAAAGCTCACTATTATATAGTGTCTCTTTAAGAGATTTGGAGGCTGGAGAGATGGTTAAGAGCACTTAATGCTTTTCCAGAGAATCCCTGCTCAGTTCCTAGCACCCACGTGGCAGCAACCCACTGGGTCTGCAATTCGAGTTTCAGGGGATCCAGTGCCCTCTTCTGGCTTCTGCAGGCATATGGTGCACCAACATGCACACAAGTAAAACACCCATTGGCTTAAAGTAAGTAGACCTTGAAAATCTGAGATTGTGAGAAAAAAAGTTCAAAGATAATGTGAGTATTCTAAACATAACTGGCCTGGCAGAGAGTCAGCCTACTAAAACCCCAAGAAACTTGAATCCCCCAAGAATATCACACTGGGAGAAGGGAAAGTCTAAAGCCAGTGCCAGTTGCAGGGGAATGCGACCTCCTAGAGAGAGATTCGCAGAATATTGACAGTTAACATAGTTCTGTGTAAAGAGCAAGCATTCTTTGGTCTCTTGAAACCTTTCAGTGTATTCCATGCATGGAATTCCATATATGGTATTCCATATACCAGAGGGGCGTGGTGATGGGGAACTGTAATTCCATTACCTGAGAGACAGTTAATCAGAAGGTCACAGAGATGGCAAGCCTCAGTAATTTAGGGATTCCAAGGTTAGCACGGCTACATGAGTCTTTGTTTCAACCCCCACCCCACCCCAATACCCTTTCCTGCCTCACCACACATGCAAAATTAGAATAAAAAGTTATTTCTACATGCCAAGATTTAGAGTTGTTAGATAATAGTAAATAGTTAATACAAAACTAACTTAGGGTGGGTGGCACTCGCTTTTAATCCCAGCACTTGGGAGGCAGAGGCAGTTGGATATCTGTGAGTTTGAGGACAGCCTGGTCTACAGCCAGAGTTGTTACACCAAGAAACCCTGTCTGGGAAAACCAAAACCAAAACAACAACAACAAAAAATCCAACAACTGACTGAATTAGCTCTCCCTGTTTTGGTACCCAAGGATTGGCTAGTTTTCTATTAATGCTACATTGTTCCCAAAATAATCTTTCCTGTAGCTGATAATGGCACTGTACCAAGGAGAGGTGGGGGGGAGGGGGAGACAGACTCTCCAGTGCTGTTACACTCAGGAGTCATGAGGTCCTTGGCACCATCATGTGTAATTGCTTTCTTCTCAAAAGAATTAAATGGGATCAACAAACTGATTGTTCCTGTCTATTGTTTAAAATTTCTTTCTAGGAGTTGAGCTATATTGTTTAAACAAAAATAAAATAAAATAAAATCAAAACCCAGGCACTGCAGCATCTTCGGCTCGAAGTCTTGTGGGTGTGAAACAGGCTTGCTTTTAGGCTTACATTAGAAAACAGTAAAGGTCTGCCCGTTGGAGAAGGTGAGAAATCTGAAGTTTCAGGCATCATTAAACTCATCCAGAACATAAAAGACCATTGTCACCAGATGTTATCACCAGCCCGGGAATGAAGGGATGGTGTGTGTCCTCTTAGAAGCAGCTGCTTATGTGTATGGATTCTACCTGTGACTTTCTGCCCTCTGGAAGCCACAATGAAAGAGGGCATCTTAGAGGACCTGACTCCCATAGATGAAGTTGGTGTCTTTCTCAGAATGCTACTGGTAATAACAATGCCGGTGTGATAACAAGCTCCAGCAGATTCTCATGACCAGCAATTACGACTGAGTCTCCAAGTAATTCAAAATCGTAAACTACCTTTAAGCCATGCAAGTATCATGCATGACAATAAGTATTCATGTTAGACATTTTGTCACTGTGGCAAGTACCTGAGAGGAACGATAGAAAAGATCACAGTTCAAAGGTCTGCGGTCGGCTAGCTCCACTGCTTTGAACCAGAAACGAGGCAGAACGCCATAGAGGTGGGAGCGTGTGGCAGAGGAGGGTGACCATTTCATGGCATCCCTGAAGCCCAAAGAGACTGGCAGGAAAGGACTGCAGACAAGGTGGACAAGGCTGACACTTGTCTAGTGATCCACTTCTTCCAACCAGGCTCTGCCTTCCACAGTGTCCACTAGCCAATAGCACCTCCCAATATGAATTCATCCAGTGAATGAAGTTGAAGGCCCATTGACCTAACCCCTTCCCCAAAGTCCCGCCTCTGGGCACTGGTGCATCAGGAGTCGAGTCTTCAACACACAACCGAGCAGGGAACTTTTCATCTCGAAACCACTTTGGGAGCATCTGGACAAGTTAGCAGTCACGACTAAACCGTTAGATAGACATGTTGTGTGATGTTTGCTGCTTTAACGTGGCATGGCATGAGTATTGATAAGAGCAACGTACAATAAAGACCCAAGTTCTTTAATTCTATTAGACTTTTCTCATGGGTATAAAAAAAAAAGATGATAATTCAATTTCCAGTCACTGAATTTGTATTTCTAGAGTTCTTGCTCTTTATAACTACTTGATTTTCCAGAACTGTCTTAGGGTTATAACCAGTCACCATGAATCAGAAGAAAATTTTATGTCAGAAATTGTTTAAGAGCCTTCAGGCGGCCTCTGCTGAATGTCTAGCTGAGTGAACTAGAGGAAGACTGTGTTTTTCCACAAAGAAAGCTCGGGCCTTTGCTGCGGTGGCACTGGTTACCTATGTGAGGTTGCTGCGGTCACATGCCATCATTTATTGCTAAAACTCCATTGTTTAGAAACTTACACATCAAGTGGGGGGAAAAGACTATCCAAGGCTCCTAAAGAAAAAGAAAGAACAAAAGGCATTGTCTCATGCTTTTGTTAATATATTTCACTTAAGAAATATTTTGAAATTGATGTTTGATAGTTTTTTTAAGGTAAGCTGATTTTTTATTACAACTTTCAAAAATGTGCATCTTAATCTCTTTTGTCTCATTTCTTTCTTTTTTTATTCAAATTAGAAACAAGCTTGATTCACATGTCAATCCCAGCTCCCTCTCCCTCCCCTCCTCCCCCACTCCCAACCTCCTCAAACCGCACACCACATTCCCCCTTCCCTCCCCAGGGAGGGTGAGGCCCTCCATGGAGGTCTTCAAAGTTTGTCATATCATCCTGGGCAGGGCTAGACCCTCCCCTATGTGTCCAGGTTGAGAGAGCATTTCTCCATGTGGAATGGGCTCCCCAAGTCCATTCATACGCCAGTGATAAATACTGATCTACTACCTGAGGCCTCATAGATTGCTGAGGCCTCCTCACTGACACCCATGTTCAGGGTTTCTGGATCAGTCCCATGCTGGCCTCTCAGTCATCAGTCTGGGGTCCATGAACGCCCCCTTGTTCAGATCAGCAGTCTGCATTTAAGGTTCTGAGGCAGCTAGTCCTCAAAAGTGATTGACAACTAGTGATTGATCACCAGAAACTGGTGTCTATGGGAAAATATAACTTGGTAATCTGCAACAAATAGAAAGATTGAGTGGTTACTATTTTGTAAGTACAGTTATGTGGTGATATATTGTTAAAGCCAAGCTGAAGATCAGAGAAGCAAAACAGCCAAGCCAGTAGATCCTACCTCTACCCCGCTGTCATGGCAATCCTGTCTCCATGAATCCTCAGAGGCAAAAGCTCTCAGTTGCTGTCTCCTCTTTCTTTTACTCCTTTCTCCACCCAAGCGTATCCTCCTGTCTTCACTGCTCCTAGTGCTGGGATTAAAGGTGTGTGATCCCAGGTGCTGAGATCACCTTTGTGTGAGCTGCTTCTTTTAGGACTTGATCAATTTCGTAGAGTCAGTGTGGTCTTGAACTAACAGAGATCCATCAACCTCTTAATCCTGAGTCCTGGGATTAAAGGTGTGTGCCACCACTGCCTGGCTTCTATGGCTAACTAGTGTGGCTGCTTTGCTATTGTGATCTCCAGTGGCTTTAATAAGTCATAAACAATGTATTTATGTTAAGGAATTAGGAAACGGAAAACCATTCACCAGTCATTTTTAGACTAAGAGATCGGTAAATGACAGTAAGTTTAGGATTGTATTACACGTAATGACTTTTTTTCCTTGGGATTGTATTTTACCTGGGCACTACTCAATCCACTTCCACTTTGCTTAATCCCAACGGAGACTTGGCTAGATTTTTTTGCAGCCAACATCCCCTTAGGAAACTTTTTTTTCCAACTAGTCATTCTCTACAACTTAGTGTATTCCCACTGGGTAACTTCCATTCAAATGATTTGTTTAGAGAATGTGAATTATATTTCTAAAGTGTTTTCCTTTAAAGGCAGCTAGAATATTCTTTAATTTCCCCTCTTAACTGCCTTTCTTAGACATTTCATTGAAATGAAAATCATTGTGTATGATCCAAGAACCTTTCAAATTAATTGAAACCCTGGCGTTTTCTGTCCTGGCTTTCAGTTACTGAATCTTCACTTTAGAAAACCCCTAGTGCTCACAATCAGAATTTTTTGTTTCCTTTCATGTGTATTTGGAAATGACTTTTTAAAGAGGGGTGGGTGGAGGCTGGGAGGGATCGATGCACAGGTTCAGATGGTATCCCTTTGATGCCGTGCGATTTCTTTCCTCCCCTACCCCCTTGCCTACGCTCTGACATCAGCAGCCTCTACTTCCAATATTGCTGTCACTTTTTATGCTGCATGAAACTACTCCCTGGAGTTGTTACAAAGATATTCTTACTCTTGTAGTTCTCCAGTCATAGTATTGTTGATCGTAGGCATGGAATGTCAAAGAAAGCAGTAGTAGCTACTGGGAAAAATTATAATTAAGAGTGTTCCTACTCTTCGATAAGGAATACTGGAATTGGTCCATCTATTCTAGCTGTTCTGGTAACAAAGTAATAATTTCTAGATTAATCATGTTTCAAAAGGACTCATGGAAAGTAGAGAGTGTAAATAATTCTTTTTTTAATTAATTAAGTTATTTTACATCCTGGCCTAAGTTTCCCCTCACTTCTTTCCTCCAAGTCCCTCCCAACCCTCTGTTCCTAACCCCCCAATCCACTTTTTCTCTGTTTCTGCTCAGAAAAGGGTAGACCTCCCATGGATATCAACAAAACATGGCATATCAAGTTGTAGTGTGACTAAGCTTTTCACCTTGTATTAAGACTGGGCAGGGCAACCCAGTATGGTGAGTAGGGTCCCAAAAGCTAGTAAAAGAGTCAGAGACAGCCTCTGCTCCCATTGTTGGAAGTTCCACAAGAGAACCAAGCTACACATCTTGCAAAGTGCCTAGGTCACTGATTGTTGGCTCAGTCTCTGTGAGTTCTTATGAGCCCAGGCTAGTTGATTCTGTGGGATTTCTTGTGGTGTCCTTGACCTCTTTGGCTCCTACAATCTTTTTTTCCCCCTTCTTCTTTAGGATTCCTAAAGCTCCACCTGAAGTTTGGTTGTTTCCATCAGTTTCTGGATGAAGCCTCTCTGATGACAATTGGGCTAGGCACCAATCTACGAGTATAGCAGAAAGTAGTTAGGCATCATTTCATTGACCATTTTTTCCTCCAGTCATGTTTGGTTCTAGCCTAGGTCTCTGGGTCATCCAACCTGTAGTTCCTGGTGCTCTAGGTACTGTCAAGAGTGGGATTACTCTCTTGCTATGGGTTTTAGGCTAGACCAGTCATTAGTTGGCCACTTCCTCAATATCTAGGTCACCCTTACCCCAGCATACCCATGGGCAGGACAGACTGTTGGGGTGATATCTTGCTTGTACAAATAAAACCTGTATGAAGGTCAAAGAATGGAGCTTGCCACAAGCTAACCATAGAGGTCTGTAGGTCTATACAGACAGACAGGAAGGAGATGGCTGGGAGGAGAGAGGATATGAGCAGACAGAAACAGGAACTCACTCTCTTGTCTGATGAGATGATAAGGAGGTAAGGTGTGGCTATGGCTTTCTCCTTCTCTCTGATCTCTCAACATTTTCCTCAATATCTAACTCCAGGTTTTTATTATTTAGACCAATTAAGATCTCCATTTACAGACTGTAGGTTGAAGGTTATGTGGGTGGGTTGGTTTCCACTCCCTCCACTTGAAGTCTTGCCTGGTCACAGGAGATGGCCAATTAAGCTACGAGTATCCACTATTGCTAGGAATCTCAGCTGGGGTTATCCTTATATATTCCTGGAAGATTCCCTCACCAGCCCTGAAATACCCTCTCTTTCCAGTAGTCTCTTTCAGTACTCTCTCCCTCCAAACACTCCCATCCTGATCTCTCATGTTCCCATCCCTCTTCCCCCACAGTGCACTCATGAAATCTCTTCTATTTTCCCTTCCCAGGGAGTTCTGTGCATCTGCCTTTGAACCCTCCTTGTTACCTAATCTCTCTGGGTCTGTGAATTGTAGTATAGTTATCCTTTACTTTACAGCTAATACCCACTTATGAATGAGTACATACCATGTTTGTCTTTATGGGTCTGGATGATTTTTTTCTAGTTCCATCCATTGCCTTCAAATTTCATGACATCGTTGTTTTTTAACAGCTGAGTAAAAGTACCACATTTTCTATATCCAGTCCTTGGTAGAGGGACATGTAGGTTGTTTCCAGGTTCTGGCTCTTACAATTAAAGTTGCTATGAACACAGTTGAGCAAGTGTCCTTGTGGCATTTATTATGTATACAGTGCTTTACCTGCATGCATGCCTGCACACCAGAAGAGGGCATCTGGTCTCGTTACAGAAGGTGGTGAGCTGCTGGGAATTGAACTCAGGACCTCTAGAAGAGCACCCAGTGCTCTTAACCTCTGAGCCATCTCTTCAGCTCCCTAATATACTTCTAATCACATTGCCCTGTGATGCTTACCTCCTTTATATTAAACGGTTGTACCATTCAGCAAAGTCTGTGAAATTACATAAGGAATAATAGTAATTATCATTTGATACATTTTGATTGTTTTCAGTCCTCTGGTGTGACTTACAGTCTCTGACCTATCAGCCAAGTCTACCCCATCCTGAGGGTACATATTATTAGGGATATTGCTAGCTACCAATAACAGAATTTTCACCAAAGTATCTTAAACAATGAAAATTACCCTGCCTCACGCGCTCAGTCCAAGGCAAGCAGATTTTTTTTTACTTTAGGTTCCGTATTTAGGACAGGCTGTTTCCAGTTTTGTCCCTACCAATCTGAGTTTGTTGGACTTTTTACTTACGATTTTTCTCTTCATAATTGTAAAAGGTTTCCATGGAAAATGATGCTGGTTATCAAACAGCTGTGGCCAGATGTAGAAGAACTGGAATATCTCCTGGTCTATCTCTTGAATAAGAAACTTTCATCTTGATCTAAGCAGGCTCCTGTTGCTACTCCTATTGGCAAGTTACCAGCCCTTATCCTTGCACGCAGTAATGGAGGCAGTCGCTAGGTACACCATGGCAAGTGATTTTATAGAAGACAAAAGCTGAACTAGGAGGAGACAGGGGGAGGGCACTATGCTGATTTTTTTTTGATAGTTCCCAAACCTTGCATAAATGTGAGAAAAACAGTCATCTGAAATTTTCTGGTGCTCACAGGTAAGCTGTACCCTTCTTTAACAAATACATTTTCTATTTTCAAATTTATAAATTGAATAAAAATTAGAGTTGCCTCTGCATCAGTTATTTTCCTACATCGACATAACACCTTTATTTTTGATCATCCAACTTGGTAGGTAGTGGGTATTTTACATTCTCACAATGAAGAGAAAAAATAGGCCAAGGATGTAAGTTATAAAGAGGAAAGTAAATGAAATTTGTGGAGATAATAAAGGAAAGAAAAGGCAGGAAAAAAAGGAGGAAGGGACAGCGACTAATTTGGATTGTTTAACATGAGCGAATTCAGCTAACTAGGTCACTTGCCACTTGACATGATATTGACAATAAGCCCTTGAGACACCAGAGAGACAGAGGAAGGATCAAGGAAGCGTGGGTTCTGCATGTTAGAATCTGTCCCTCCTAACCACAGGGCAGGTGTGTCCTGGAAACACATGCTCACGCAGCTTGATGGTAGAGTCTGGTGGCACTCCCTTTTCTTTTTCTTGTTTTCCCCCACACTCAAAGATAATTTGACTTACAAGCTATACAAATATTTAAGACTCTAATTTTTTTCTCAGCAACAATTACAGAAGGTTATAAGAGGTCAAGGATTTGTCTGTTTTGTTTTGAGGCAGGGTGGCTTGGCTATTACCCAGGCTAATGAGAAACTTAAGACCCTCCTTCACGGGCCTTCCCAGTACTGGTGTCTGTCTGTCTGTCTGTCTGTCCGTCCGTCCGTCCGTCTGCCTGATTGCTGGTTGGTTGGTTCTTGTGTGTTTGTGAGTGGCTCAGGGTCTCTGTAGAGGGGAGACAAGTGAGCTACACACCCCTTCCCACTACTTCCTCCACGTGAGAGAACCCTGCTGAACTTTCCCCAGTTGTGTCAACTATCATTTAAGCTAAACATATTTTCATTGCTTTCAATCTTTATATCTACTGTGAAATAAATAGGTTTCGAAAGCCATACCAAACAAATGTATACTCCAGTGAGCACAATATGGCAGTCGCTCTTGCCTTGAGTAATGGAATCAGGAAACAGGGTTTTCCAGCTCCTCCGGAAGCCCCACAAATGCCTTGAGCTGAATGGTATATGGTAAGCCTTTCCTTGCTCCACAATCATGCACGATGGCCTCTTGATGAAATTAGGCATCACCTCTATGTATTTCTTTAGAATTGGTTGACCCCAGCACATCCATAAACACTACATTTTGTGCAATAAACACTTGTATGGCTTATAATCATCCTGCACTCTATATTCACCCTCCCACTATTCCTTTTTCTTTTATAGTTTGAAGATCTGCAGACACCAGAAGTGCAGTTTCCTGGTAATTGAATTTGATCTTCCTGGGGCAGGCTACACATTCAGTTGTCCTTCTGCTAACTGGAGGTTGAACTCATCGTCAGACTAGGCTTTACCTCTTTTGAAACTACAAGTGAAGTATTACTTAAGTTATTAAGTCATTGCTTAACAAAACAACTTAAAGAAAGAAAAGCTTATTTTGGCTCACAGTTTGTAGGATACAGTCCAACATGGCGGGGGAGATGTGGTGGCAGGAGGCTGCTGATCACATGACATCCACAATCAGGAAGCAGAGCGAGGTGAATGCTGGTGCTCATCTCACTTTCTCCACTTTATTCGGTCTGGAATCCCAGATCAGGGAATGGTACTACCTAGATTTGGGGTGGATATGTCTTCCCACTTCAGTTAAACTGATCTTCGTTCTCTTGGTGATTCCTGAGATAGCCAAGCAAATGCCATGACAGCTCCTAATAACCTGGTTTAAAAAAAAGCTAGGTGTCAGTTTCAGCTTCCTGAAACTATAGAAGCAGTTTCTAAGGAAGCCACAAACAAATACCAATCAATCAACAATGTCCCTGACAGCAGAGACAAGGGGGACTGCATGTACTAAGCTTGAGCCAACCCACTGCAGTATCTCCAGGCATTAGGAACAGATTCTGGGAATTGTCCAAAGATGGAAGAATTGTAGTCCTAACCAGCCCATGTTAGCCCTTGCCAATCAGAAATGCACTAATGTAACTGCTTGCTTAGCCAGTCATAGATAGGGTAACCTAACTGTCCCTAAAATGCCCCTTGGCTGTATTTAAAAGGAGCCTGCAGGCTCTACTCAGGGACATGAACATTCTGTACAGGTGAACAGTCCCAACATATGCTGGTATAGCAAATAAACACCCTTGACGATTGCATACGTGACTGGTGATCTTTTGCGGGACAACTTGTGAGCCATAACAATTCTAAGTCCCATCAAGTTGACAATCATGATGAACAATCAAAGTTTGTTATTTCATCAGGAGACAGCTGCATCAGGCCAACCTTCTTTCTGTAATCCGATCCATTAATTTACTGGGGCTTGCAAAATGTGATATTAAAATCCTAGTCCTGGGGCTGGAGAGATGACTCAGAGGGTAAGAGCACTGGCTGCTCTTCCAGGGGTGCTGAGTTCAATTCCCAGCAACCACATGATGGTTCACAACCATCTGTAATGAGATCTGGTGCCCTCTTCTGTCATGCTGGCAGAACACTGTATACAGAATAAATAAATAAATCTTAAGAAAAAAAAGAACCCAGTCTCTTTTCCACTTGTGGGCTGAAAATATTCTATAAAGAGACATAGCTCTTCTTCTGCCACTTGACTACCTAGAGATACAATGCAAAGGCTGAATGTTGCTTTTCCTATATATGCTAATTTTCAGGTAATAACATTTCTCCACAGAAGCTGAATAATTCTTTCTTTCTTAAAATCACAACTGTGGCTAATTTTATAAGGTCTCAGTCAATAACAGCTGTTTCTTAAAGCTCAAATGCCCTATCTTTGGACCACAGAGGTATTTTTGAGTTGGTTTCTAGTCCCTCTTGGCATGACCTAGTAATTGTTGCTAGATTCTTTGATATCAGGTGTTTCAAGTTTACTGCTTTCTGTAGTAAGAAATATTCATGCAGTTCCAAGCCCACAGTCCTTATGTTAATTCTTAGTCCTGCTAGATTGGTTACTGTACCTAAGACTCTAGCTGTTGCCTAGTGGATACAGATAAAATTTTATAGGTGATGGACTCATATTTCTAATCAAATTCAGGACTGTGTGTGGGTTTGTTTGTTTTTATTTTTTTACTCTTCTTTTAAAGCCTGAATCTCTTTGCCTCCATATGAAAATTCCTCCTTAAACAGGACACCATAGATTAGTATTTTAATCAGTTTGGATTATGATAACAAAATACTCTAATGATTAAATTAAATTAAAATGTATTGTTCACAGTTTTGGAGACAAGTCCAGGAAGGGTGTGCCAATAGATTTGACATATGGCAAGGGTTCCTCTGTTTGTTAACGGAGGATTCTTCTGTGTCCTCCTCATGAGGTCGAAGGATGAGCAAGCCCCCTTGAGCTTCTCTGATGAGGGTGCCAGTCCTTACGCTGTAATCACCCACACAAAGAAGCTGCTTGCTGACATTTTGTGATGGGTTACCATGTTAACGTACAAATTTGGTGAAAACACAACACTCAAATCATAGTTGATGGAATATCTCATCCATGTTAATGTACAAATTTGGTGAAAATACAAACACTCAAATCAGTTGATGGACTATCTCATAATGATTCCTTTACTTTATGGTACATTATTCATATGAAAGGACCAGAATAACAACACACAAATGCCTTTTATGGACCCATGGACATTGCTATCTTGTCGGGGATGCTCCTTAACAATGTCACCCATCATGTTCACTTTTGATTATGATAAGTATTGATTCTTTGGGTAAACTTCATCTTTACTGTACAGACCAGCCATTATATTGAGGTCTTTCTGAGCATCTTAAATATACCTGAAATTCATCCTGTAACCATTCTTCATGAAGAACTAATAAGAACAATACTCTCTGCTTTTTTGAATCTTGGTAACTATTGTTCAGTGATGTTGGCTCACATTTTTTAGT